TATCTTTGTTCAATTGGTTATTTCAACATATATATTTAGAAAGTGCCCTTTAATCATACTAAGTGTAAGAAATTGTATTCGAATCTTCATAATTTGGATCACACATTTAATATATACAGGAATCTAATCAACATAGTGACAGAAGAAATGATTCTTGTCACAGTGACAGACAAGTCCCTCCAGCTATCGAGGCAGTGCTCTGTTATAACATGGTCATTTGTATATATTTGGTACTGATATAGTAAACCCCTCCTTTGTAGATGAACTGAAGAAAGTATTCAAAGCATCTGCTTTCTCATTATGGCTTGCAAAACTCCCATTTTCCTTTTTCTTTAAATCACCTAAACCTTGCATTTTCAAAAATGTTCACATTCCAACTTCATTGTTGTTTTGAAATTCCTTTTTTCCAGTTACCTGGATAATCACACTTTTCATATTTCAGTGATGGTTTTGTTTCTGTTTTTTCTTTTACAGCTAAACAAGTATTCAAAATGCAAAAATCATATGATCACTTTTGCTAAGTGATGGGTTTGATCATATACTAATAAAACACACCTCTGGAAACAGCTATAAAAAAAGCTTAACCCTCTCGTTACAGGTCTTCCTATGGTCGGGGATAAAAGTGCATGTCATCACATTTGTAGACTTACATTCAAAATTTTATTGAACTACTATTTTATGTTGATAATTTTAGTATCAAATTTTAAATTATCATTCAAATTTTAGTATTATACATTAGTTAGTTTGGTACTGTTCCATTAAACCCTCACAAATGGTAAGTTTTGACTATATGAATATAATGCCCATTAATGTATTTTTAGAAATTGTTTTCAATTAATCTTAATACTTGTATTCTTATGCATTACAATTTAATGAAAGCAACTTATATATCATATCTACACTAATAAAAATGCATAAATCAAATGCAATGGCATGCCAGGTATGCTGAAGATAGTTCCAAAATGCATAATTTGTGAAGTTGTGTAAATTGCATGGCTGACTGGCATTCTGGCAATTTGGAGCATTTTACACTAAATCACTAATAAACAGTTTTCACTTCATTCCCTTCAGAGTTCCATATTTCCTGCAATTTGAACAAGTACCTTTTAGGTTGGGGGG